CCTTTCTCTCTCTTGAGAGTTCTCCTTCCCACATTTTTGATTCTTTTGTATTATTTTTATGACAGACTGAGAATTTGTTATGTAAACCTGAATATGGAATTCTTCATTGGATACTGGTGAGCTAATATGTGGCTACACAACTAAACATAAGGACTCTGACTCTCTCAGATTCAAGAGAAATTAGGTGACAAGTATAAACCCTGACTCAAAAACCCTACATGTAAATATTTCTAAAATCCAAAACATGAAGAAATAAAGATTTTCCACCCATCTAACGTAACATCCTATAGTGAAACTAAAAGCACATGATGTAACATATGCTTCAGGATATACATATACACACCTCAAATATATGAAATATTCATATTTACATTTGCTTTCCACCCTCAAGACATTGTGAATGTGTGTATATATATGTAAGTGTGTATGAATGTATATATATATATGCATATATGTATATACATATTACATATATGCACATATGTATATACATATATCAAACAATATTGGGAAGTAATGCTTAATGAAACCTGTAACTTCTAATTCTAATATTTATTAGAAATAATCTGCATTGAAAATGAAAAAATAACAACCATCTCTTATAAGCTTGATAAGCCTCTTTGCATAATATAAATGATAATCTTGAAAAAGTTTTAATAACTATTCCAATTCAACCAAAGAGAAACAAATAGATTTTAAGAAAATAAAACATTTTAGTTTCCATTATCCTCAAAAGTCAAAGTGAAATTCACTTGTTTCACAAATACATTGATGGAAAATGATCAGTATTTTTTTATTTCAAAAGAGTTGATTACTATCTTTTAAAATAAAATTAGGATTTCCAATTGTGGACTAAAGTGAAGCTGAGGAGAAATGACAAGAAAGATGGACAGATTGGACAGACAGCTGAGCCACTCACTTAGTTTAGGCCTTAAGACACTAGGTGACCCTTTTCTAGGGTGGGAGCTTACAGTAAGAGAAAAATATTGAGGGTTGAGAGTTTTCTCTCTGGATTGAAAAACATGTATGTATTTGGTTGTCTCTATAATGTATAGAAGAACTCTCTCCTGCACCTTTCATGTTTTTCACAATTTTTAAAATGGATCTTCAGGAACATTACTCAATGACTGGAAAATTTATGCCCCAAACAGAGAAGACTGTTTTATTGATGTCTATCCTAAAATCTATTCCCAAAGCAGGAGTTTGTTGAGCTATAAGCATATTTAAAATGTAATATAAAGGAAAAGGTCACTTAGGAAGGAAAGTATTGGGAATAGATTGGAGAAATAGGCTTTTTTTTTTCCAGAAGTGATCAACTTGAGTCAGACTCAAGTTTGAAGAAGTATAGCTGGTAGGATATAGATTAGTGGTTAACACTTTAATACACTTACTAATGTTATATAGGATACAACCATAAAATTAATTTATGGTTATTATGGTTTATTATAAAATTATTTCATTGCTACTTTATAACTGTAATTTTGTTACTGTTATGAATTCTAATGTAAGTCTCTGATAGAAAGATATCTAATATGCCATCTCCAAAGAGTTCAGGACCAACAAATTGAGAACCACTTGTCCAGAGTAAGGAAGGGGGTGAGTGAAGTAACTGTATTTCAATTAAAATCATTTTTTTAAAATTTGAGTAATAAAGACTATCCATTATTAATGAAGTTTGCCAATATTATTCATTATTTAAAAATAAAAGCAGGAAGCATATTGCAAAGCATCATATTGGAGAGAAAAAGCAATACTCAAATACTAGAGTGATTCACAAAAAAGACAGATTGATGCCAAACATTAAATGAAGGCCCAAGTAGGCGACCCCTAAAAATTGGCCATTGGAGTAGCAACATGGATGTCACTGTTGACCTTAATGTAATATGTGTGCAATAGGAGGTGAAATACTTGGTGCAAAACATGGTGAAATTTATCCCCATTTATTAATTCCTATCAAAGTTCTTAACCTATCAACGTTCCACCTGAAAAAGGCAGCATGGAGATGTAATTAACCCTGTGAACCTTACAGCCTAACAGACATAAAAATCATAGCTTTTCAAAGGGAATGTGCTTTACTGAGATAGTCAGAGAGCTTCATGCACAAGAAAGTCAGATAGCATTTACATCTACAGAGGAGGATACTTGCTTATTACTATATAGTAAAGGCTAAAGACACATAGAATTATAACTGAAACAACCTGGAAGATACTTGGTAAATCTCATGATTAAATAGGTAGTATACCTTGGACACATGATAAACATGAACAGATCATGTAAAATTAAAATGCCTATTTCTTTAAATGATTGAATTTTATTGATAATAAACTGTGCCTTCTGTAAACTGTGTAGTTTAATATGTATAATTTTACAGTATTAAATGAAATAGCAAAACTCTACCAAATTGTAAATTACTTTATAAAGATTTTCTACTCAATACTACTTCTTTCAAATGGCTGAAACTTTGGAATGCAGTGAAAAAATACTGATATACATCTATGTATTGGCACTGAAACACCGTAACTAAAGAAGTTCATTACTTTGCAAGTGAACATAAATAGATGTAAAGGAAATAATCAGATTTTTCTAATGGTTTAAACTAGTTAGTAGGGAGCACATATATCAAAAAATGGCTGTCTTTGTCCATCTGAAGATGGAATATAGAAGAACTTACGGGGTTACAAACAAACAAACAAACAAACAAAAACAGACACACCAAAAGCAAAACAACATTCACCAAGAATTTGTGAGACAGTTCTTATGCAGCAAGAGAAGCCATTTTCCTTGCCTCTGGCAAAAGAGACATATGGCACTCCATCAACCAGTGATATCAGGATATCAGCACCAATGCTGGCCTCCAGGTCAAGTGAAGGGGAGTAAAAGTACTTGTTATACATCTCAGAACCCACACATGTATTCCTGTCACTTCCCAAACAAGCCTATCTCCTCCTGCACTCTGCTAACTCCCAAAATATTCTAGCATTACTCTCTATCTCTTTATGAAGACAGTTTCTTTACTTGTCTGACCTATCTCCACTTTTCTGTCATAATATTCTTTCTTTTCTCCTAGACAGCTTGGACACATGAAGCATGTTTTTCCCTCTTTCTGCACTATTCTAATTGCTTAAATATTCTAGAAATTAAATTACCCTGTCTTTCTTTCCACCAGTTAAATTATTAATTTCATATCTTCATCACAGGCCCCCATCCCTTCTCTCTTCACAGTCCCACCATCATTCTCCCCTCCCCAATTCCCTCCTTCTCTTCAGAGAGGCTCTGTATGTGTACCAACCTATCCTGACATATCACATCAGGCAGGACTAAGAGTATCCTCTCTCGATAAGGACAGGCAAGACAGCCCAGCTAGGGGAAAGGGAACTAAGGGCAAACAACAGAGTCACAGACAGCTCTCAGTCCAATTGTTAGGGGACCCACATGTTGACCAAGATGCACATCTGCTACATAGTGTAGGGGAACCTAGGTCCAGCCTGTGCATTGATGAAAGCACACTTTGTCTCTAAGCTTCTCTACTTTTCTCCTAATATTCTCCATTTTCTTCTAGATAGTATTGGTCATAGCAAGTCTGCTTCTTTCTCTCTGATCTGAACTCTTCCAGGTGCCTCTGAACTTTTTCCCTCTCTGATCCACAATAAAATTACTCACTGTAATAATGGACCAGCTACTATTTTGCTGGTTTCTCTGCTGTCCCTGCTCCCAGTTTGAATATTTAAGTATAAATTTTATTAAGTGAATATTTCTATGCCCAAGACATGTTACTTCGTTCAAGGAGCTCTGGTCCTAGGGTGGGCGGCTCCTCCTCACATGATGTGCAGGCCCTGGATGGATGACTCCAAGGTCTGGAGAAAGCAGAGTTCTGTCAGAGAGACCTTGGCTCCCTGCCACACTGCTGCACTCCCCAGCCTCAGTGCCTGGAGTCTCCTTTGCCAAGAACTCACATCACCTCCTGCTGCACAGCCTCCCTCCTTCCTGCCCTCCTTCCCTCCTTCCTTCCTTCCCTCCCTCCCACTTATTCTTCCCCTCACTGCCTGGCCCTGGCTGGCCTGGAACTCTGTATATACCAGGTTGCCTCCATCTCACGGAGACCAACCCTCATCTGACTCCTGGATTTAAAGACATGAGTCCCTAGGTCTGGACCTTTATTTCAAGATTTATTTATGTCATTTTGTTGTTTTGTTTTTTTCGAGACAGGGTCTCTCTATGTAGCCCTGGCTGTCCTGGACTTGCTCTGTAGAACAAGCTGGCCTTGAATTCACAGAGATGCTCCTGCCTCCGCCTCGTCCAGCACTGGGGTCACAGGCATGCAACACCACACCTGGCTAATTTATGTATGTATGTATGCATGTATGTATGTATGTACGTATGTATGTTTGTACGCACCACGTATGCTGGTGTCTATGGAAGGCAGAAGAGCATCAGATTCTGTGGACCTGGAGTGACATTTGGTTGTGAGCTGCCAAGGGGGTGTCCGGAACCAAATCTTGAGTCCTAGGCAAGTGCTCTTAAGTGCTGAGCCATCACTCCAGGCCCTATACTCTTTGTATTATCACACTTGTTGCATGTGCGCATGTGTGCCTGTGTGCTTGTGTGTGCGGGAATCTTCTCAGCTCATTGCATTATTTTTTTCTGGGGGGGGAGGTCCTATATCTAGCTCAGGCTGGCACCAAGCTCAGAGCAATCCCTCTGCCTCAGCCTCCCAAGCCTTGGCATTCCAGGACGGAGCTCACGGCCAACTGTGTAAACTGTGAAGCTGTGTCTGTGCAGAGCTGTGTGGGCTGCTGGCTTCAACACGGCACCTAGCTTTCCTGAGGAGGAGGGCAGTTCAGAGCTGCCACCCACCCACCCGTTGGGGCCATGCTCCCCTCAGCTTAGGGCCTCCGGGGCCAGCTGTTCTTCCAGGTGCTTTGGCAGGGAAGCTCAGTGGAGAGTGCGAACATGATGTGGGCTCCACCCCAGCACTGCCAACCGTCACTGGGGAGACATACCTTGAAATCCCAGATCCTCATGGGCCCATCTATGCCGGTGGTGCATAATTTGCAACAGTCCTGCTTGTCCACCTCACAAATGGACACCTGGCTGAAAGATGAGCAGGTCCCTGAGGGCTGTGGAGGGGAGTGAGGCCAGCCCCCCAAGCCCTGCACACACGGCTCTGTGCTGGGCCCCAGAGCCCTCGGGGCCACAAGACCCTGTCCCCAAGGAGGAGGGCTTACTCACCCGTGATGTGGCCCATTGGGCAGGCCCGAGACTATACAAGGCCCTGGCCGGGTCCCCAATGCCACATATACTGGGTGCTGGTGCTTGCATAGAACCCTAGCCATCTGAAGGTGGAGGCTGGAGGTTACAAGCTCAAGGTCAGGGGGGCTGCAGGGAAGGGCTCAGAGGGTGAGAGTGCTGGCTGTACTTCCAGAGGTCCTGAGTTCGAGTCCCAGCACCTACACGGTGGCTCACGACCATCTGGTGTCAGAGGAGAGGGGGAGGGAAAAGCAGGAGGGGAGGGGGAGAGAAGGAGGAATAGGGAGAGGGACAGAGAGAGAGGGAGAGAAAGAGAGAGAGAGAGGAAGGGAGAGAGTGAGGAAGGGAAAGAGAGAGAGAGGGAGGGAGAGAGAGGGAAAGAGGAAGGGAGAGAAAGAGAGGGAGAGGGAGGAAGAGAAAGTGAGAGGGAAAGAAAGGGAAAGAGGGAAGGAGAGAAAGGGAGGGAGAGGGAGGAAGAGAGAGTAAGAGGGAGAAAGAAAGAGGGAAGGAGAGAAAAAGGAGGGAGAGGAAGGAGAGAGAGGGAGAGAGAGGAAGAGGAAAGAGGGAGAGAAAAGGAGAGAAAGGGAAAGAGGAAAAGAGAAGGACATAAAAAGAGAGAGAGGGAGAGAAAAAGAGGGAGGGAGGAGAGAGGGGGAATGGAGAAGTACGGGAAAAGGGAGGGAGAGGGAGGCCTGTCACAAGCTGATGGGCAAGCCCGGGCCACCCTCCCCCACCCCCAGCCTGTCACACTAAGCTAATAGGCCAGCCCAGGCCACACCCACCCACCCACCCACCACAGGTCATGCTGAGCTGATGGGCCAGCCCAGTCACCTCCAATCTGTCAACCAGACCCATGTGATGCTGTTCTGGTGCACCATCTCCTTGCTGGTGGCCCTCTTGTCCATGCTGTGCTGGGTGTTCTGCTTGGGGATGTCAAACTTGGACACGAAGCTCAGGCCACCGTGGTCGTCGTAGCTGAAGAGGATCAGGCAGCATTTGTGGTCCTGCGATGGGGGGGGGGTTGGGAGAGGGTGTTGGTCAGCCTGGGGGGGGAATATCCCCCTGCCCACCCCAGAGGAGGGTATGCAGGGTGCGCCCCAGGACTGGCACAGGCCCCCGAGACGGGGGCACACTGCGGGGCATTGTGTGCTCTGTGCACCCTGGGACTGGCACAGGCAGGCAGCACCCCACAAGCGCACACACTATAGGGGAGTGTGTTTGGGGTGTGCTCCGGGTCCATCACAGGCAGCACCCCTTGAGGGTGCACACTCACTGTGGCCACGATGCTGTTGTCCAAGACGAAGGACACAATGAGCAGCAGCAGGAACCCTGTCTTCAAAGTTGACACCCTGTACACAGGGAGCGGGTGTCACACATGGTTCTCCCCCTCTGTGAAGTACATGCTGGGGACCAAACTCAGGCCATGAGAGTGTCACCTCAGGGACCTACCCTGTGGCTCAGGCTGGCCTCGAACTCACGATCCCCCTGCCTCAGCTCCCTGGATGCTGGGATCAAGGGCCTGCACCACAATGCCTGGCTTGTAAGAGTGTATTCACGCGGAGGAGTGAAAGCTCGACACCAAGGGACTGTTGCTGACATGAACTCAGTGGAGGGCTCTTTGACCCCCCCTTCCCTCCAAGGGAGACAGTACAGGCTTGCCAGGACACAGAGGAGGACATTGCAGCCAGTCCTGATGAGACCTGATAGGCTAGGGTCAGATGGAAGGGGAGGGGGAGGAGGACCTCCCCTAGCAGTGGAGTTAGAGAGGGGCAGGGAGGAGATGAGGGAGGGAGGGATGATGTGGAGGGAGGGATGATGTGGAAGGAGGGAGGGATGATAGGGAGAGAGGGATGATGGGGAGGGAGGGAGGGGACCACAGCTGGGCTACAAAGTAAATAAACTAATTAATATAAAAAATAAAAATTTAATTTAAAAACAAAACAAAAAAAAAAACAACCAAACAAAAAACAAACAAAAAGCTTAACACTAGCAAAGCCATTCCAGAGCCCAGTTTTGCCATGGTGACCTATTCACAAGAGAACTAGCAGAGTCTGCGCAGGGAGGACCATGTCTGAGCTGTCCCCACCACTGCATCCACATGGGGTGGCCAGGCCGGAGGCCATGCCCAGGGCAAGTTCCTGGGCTTCCCATGGGAGGGCAAGTGCCAAGATGACCGAGAGCAGGCTCTGCGCTTCTTCCCTTGCCACCAAGCCACCTTCACCACAGTCTGGTGACATTCAGATTCTCCCCACAGACCCGGGGCGGCATGAAGGCAGAGGAAGAAGATGGTGCCTCTCCTGTTTGGGGTGGGGTCAGCAGAGGAAGCTGAGGGTGTGTGTGTGCTGGGCGAAAGCAGTAGCTTCAGCCCTGGTTTTCTGGGACAGAGCCCGGGCTGGCCTTAAACTCCTGACCCTACTGCCTCTGCCCCCCGGGCCACCAGGATCTGCTCTGTCCCATCTCCCTGGGGGCTGGTGGGGACCACGGACATGAGGAGATAGTCAGGCGTCTGCGGCACCATCCTCCCAGCTCCAGCCATCGTCTTCATCAGGGAGGTGGGGACGGCTCCAAAGACCCTCGGGATCGGGCCTGCTGGCCTGATGGGCGGGGATGGGTTACTGACTCTCACTGGTACCCGGCTGCTCTATCCTGGGCCTCTCGGCCAGCTGTATACACTCCCCTGGCTGCAGTGCTCTAGGCTACTGTGTCCACAGTGCAGGTCGCCAGCTGTATACACTGCCTTTTGCTGTGGTGGTCTAGGCGAGCCAGCGTGTCCAGGTGGCCGACTGTCTATACTCCCCTCCAGCTGTCTAAACACCACCCCCAGCCGTCTACGCTCCCCCCCAGCTGTCCACACTTCCTCCAGCCATCTACACTCCCCTATCTGTCTATACTCCTCCCAGCTGTCTACACTTCCCCCAGCTGTCTGCTCTGCCTGGGCCGGGGACGCTCACCGACTGGGCAGCAGAACCCCCCCCCCGCGCCCAACACCTCCCCTCCAGCCAGGCGAGGACTCACTGCACGCTCATGGAGGTGTCGGAAAAGGAATAGAGGAAGAGGAGGAAGAGGAGGAGGAGGAGGAGGAGGAGAAGAGGAGGAAGAGCAGAAAGAAGGGTAAGAAGAGGGAGGAGACCTCCGCTAACGGGCCCGCCTGAGCACGGCGTGTGTGCTAACATAACCGATTTGCACTCCCGCCTTAAGGGGCCTCCCGCCGCTCCTCCCCGTCCAGGGCATCCTCGCGGAGGAGACCCCGTAGCTGGGGCTCGCCCGGGTACCAGTGACCTTGACCCCGTGATGTCAACCACCCGGGCGAGCCCGACCCCTGTGGGGGCGCTGGGTTGGGCTCCCGTGGGACCCTCGACCTGGACTTCAGCTCAATCGTGCAAAAATTAAAAAAGGGGTTCAAGCGTCCCCGGTATGGTACGCAATGCGCGACGGAGGAGCGGCAGCTTGGCCAGATGAGCGAGCGTGCGAGCGCGTGCACCCCGACACCCCGCCGACACCACGACTCACCTAGCGACGCCATCTTGCAGTCTCCAGTGTCCTCAGGGCTGGCCATGCGCGGGGGAGGCCGGGAAGCGAGCGCGCTTGGGAAGCAGGCACGGCCCCGCCGCTCTCCGTCCCGCCTCGCCCCGCCCATTAGGGACCGCGCTTGGTTCCTGCATCCTTTGCAACTGAAGGATGCTCTGGAGATGATAAAGCACTCCCCCCGGAGCCTGCTGTTTTTTGGCGGGAAACAGGCCCCGCCCCTTGGGGACAGCGCCAGGCTCCTGCATCCCTGAAGCGGAAGGATGCCCTGAGATGGTAAAACCCCTCCCCGGAGCCTGCTTTCTTCGGGTGTCCCGCCCGAGGCCGAAAAGGGGGGCCCGGCTGTCTGTCCTCTCCTTTGGGGTCTGATGGGAGAAAGGAGAGGGGGTAAGGAAGAGGAGAGAAGCCTCATGGGCGGGGGCATCTTTTCCGTCTTCTAATTTATTTTTATTTAAAAGACTACGTGTACAATATTCTGGCTGCATGTGCGTCAAATGATCCTGGCTGCCGGGACTCGAACTCAGGTCCTCTGGAAGAGCAGGCGGCGCTCTCTTAACCGCCGAGGTGTCTCTCTAGCCCCGGGAATTTGTTGATTTTCTTTTTTTTTTTTTTTTTTAGCCTCCCCAATTCCACGCAGGACGCTGAAGTAGTCCCCAGTCCCCACAGTGCAAAGTCGCCTACGCGGCTGACAACCGCATCAATTGATCAGCTGGGGGCCGACGCTCCCGTGGACCCCAGCTCTCTCGGAAGCTCTCTCCACACGCCGGGCACGGGTACGACTGCAGCTCATGGCGCACACCCGGCAGGCGAAGGGCACTCCCCGGTGTGCGTGCTCGCGTGCCTGGTCAGGGCGACCCTGTGGCGGAAGCTCTTGGCACACGCTGGGGACGCGTACGGGCCCGTGTGCGTACGGAGGTCGGAGCGCTGACAGAATTCCTTCCCGCGCGTGCAGCTGTAAAGCTGGTCTCCGGGGAAACACGAACTACTGTCCTCGGAGGCCTGGGGAGTCTCCGGGGCTCGTCCCCCGCGGGAGCCCTGGCTGTAGTCCTCCCCAGGTTCGGCCTGAGCTAGGACATGGGCGGTGGCCACCTCCCCAAAGCCATCGCCGCCCCCGTGCTGGGCAAGGACAGGGTCCGACCTCTGCGGCTTGTGTGCGCTGGTGGCGCGCGAGGTGCTTGGTCTGCCGGAAGCGCTCTCCGGATCCAGGCACACGTGCCTGACCAGGGCATCGCTCTGGCGGAAGGCCAGGCAAGCGTAGGGCTTCTCCCTAGTGTAGGTGCGCGAGTGCTTGAGGAGGTCGGAGAGCTGGCGGAAGCGCTTGGGGCAGTGCTCGCACTGGTGGGGGCCGGGGTCCCCGGAAGCTCAATGCGCACCCGCCTGAGCCCCCTTCCCCACTCCCCCGGCGTGCGTGCGCTGATGGTGCGCTAGGTGCATGCTCTACCCGAACCTCTACCCACACGCCGGGCACGCGTATGGCCTCTCTCCCCCATGGTTGAGTTGGTAGCGCTGGCGGAAGCCCTTCCCGCAGTGGGCGCAGCTGTAAGGCTTGTCTCCGGGGAGACCCCAACTGTACACAGGGGCCTGAGGGGTACCAGGGGGCGCGTCCCCCAAGGGAGCCCAGGCTGTGGACCTTTACAGGCAGAGCCTGAGCAAGGACAGGGGCGGTGGCAACCTCCCCAAAGCCATTAACAGGCTCTGTTGTCCCCCTTGACTGCGCAGGGGGCCTGCGAGGTGGCAGTGGACACCAGCTCTCCACTTCTCCAAAGCCCTTCCTCCTTGGGTGCACAGGGGACCTGAGAGGTGGCCATGCGCCCTGGCTCGACAGTTCTTCAAAGCCCTTCCTCCTTGGCCTCACAGGGGACATGTGAGGTGGTCGTGCGCCCTGGCTCTCCCGGGGAAACTCTGGGCGGCAGAGGTTGTGGAACAGCATCTTTTGGTGGCTTCTCTTCGTGGTCGGGGTCCGTCCCCAAGGGCGCGCCTTGAACCCAGGCCTGCAAAGGCTCGTCCTCTGCCTCCCAGTCCTCCTCCTTCTTTGGGATCAGGTCGGGGTTCCAGGCAGCTCGGGTCTCCAGGCCTGAAACCGGAGAACATGAGCAGAGATAGAATGGCCTCAGACCCTGGCTCACCCGAGCCACGCGGACCACAGGGCGTCAGGGAAGAGCATCACTCACCCAGCACGACAGTGCTCCTGGCGCCCTCCATGCTCTCTCCGCACAAGCCATTCTGGGCCTCGGCCAGTGGCTCCCCCACTCCACACCCTGGGTGGGAGATCCGGCCTCGGCCTTGAAAGTCGGGGTGCCCTGGAGGGGCGCAAGACCTCAGTTAGTGCTCGCTGTGCCTGCTGAGAGCAAGGAGTTGGTGAGTCGAGTGACCAGGTATCAAGGCCTTCCCCGTCACCTCAACTGGGCTCTGGATCACCTAAAACGCGGCTCCGGGGCTAGCCTGAGCTAGCCAGCATCTCCCAGCAGCTTTGACTGAGCTGAAAGGGACAGAAGGGAGACAAGGGGAGCGGTAGTGTCCACCTCCTCCTCACTGCTAATGGGGAAGCAAGGGGCCCAGCCACAACTCTGCCGCGCCTTCCTGGCCCGACTGTGGCTCTTGTTCAACCTTGACCAAACCCCCCCCCCAAAAAAAAAAAAAAAAAAAAGCCCTTCCTTCACTGAGCCCTTGACAACGTAGAGGGAAGACTCAATGGGGGGCGGGAGGAACATGGCTAAACTATGAAATGACATGGAGGAGGGTGGTCGCTGAAGGGACTTCTCAGAAGTTAGGCTGCTCTTCCAGATGACCCAGGTGCATGCCCCAGCGCCTCCAAGTGTCCATGAGGCCCTCACTTAGGCAAAACACCAAGGCATATGAAAAATTAAGAAAACAAAAAACAACAACAAAAAACACTTCCACAAAAGAAAGAGTGCTTCCTGCTCTTCCAGGAAGAGCGACCTTAACACAGCAGACAGTACCCACACCGGGCAGCTTACAACATCCCTGGGACTCCAGTTCCAGGGATCTGACTGTCCTTTGTGTGTCCCTGGAGCTGTCCCACACATATGAACTAAAATTAAACGAAACTTTTCACACTGACAGTGAAAGCAGATGCTCAGAGGAAGGCATGATACCCCCAACCCTTGAGCTGGAAGTCCAGGCGGGAGCCGGGAACAGAACTCTTGTTCCGGAGGCTTTGCAGCAGGCCCGCGGTCCCGGGGCCACTCACCTGCGGGGAGGCCGGGTGTAGGGCGCGCGCCCAGGCCGCCACCTCCTCTCCGCTCTCGGGGCGCTGGTGGCACACAGGGTCCCGAAGCCGGCGGTGGAGGATGCTGAGAAACTGCTCGAGGACCAGCAACTCCA